TAAACCTATGTAAGATATTTCAGATTGAGAAATTGAGTATCATCTTTGCCCTGACTCAGCTGTATGTATTGGGACCCAAAGGCAGTGCTACAGTGCACAGAATCTCAATTTTCTGTTTTTTGATATTTTTATCCTAAAATACAATTCTATGGTGATAAAAGAGATCCTCAACCATGTTCAGCAATGTATGTGAGTATGTATGCACAATCTACACAGGTTGACAGACACTTTTTACATATGTACCACCCACTTTGGCAAAAAAAGTTGCATTAATAATTTAATGCAACTTTTACATCACGGTGAGAAAATTTCTCACCGTGTATATATATGTAAAACCACACAACAGTGTGCTTGTTAGAAAGGTTCTTTAACCAAGTAAAAAGTGAAATCACCATGGTGATAATGAATCACAATGGTGTCTTTTACCATTTGGTAAACAAGGTCATTTGTTGATTGAGTTCAAAAACCAAAAAAAAACTTAATTGCTCTCATCGCTCTCAATATCATCTACCCGTTCAACTTCTGCAATTATTTTTTAAGCAATTTGATTGATGATAACATGGTCAATGACCAAGATCTTCACTGTTGGCAGCAAAGTTGAATTGGTGGAAATGATGTCTTTTGAGGAAGTCGGATTCGAGTCTGAATCAACACCATGATGAGATCGAATGGATTTGAGATTGAAAAGTTTAAGTAGAGAAAAAGGTTGAGGTGGTGATGATTTGAATGGTTTGCAATTGAAGAGAAAAGGACTTGTAGAAAACAAAGAAAAAAATGGTGAGGTCCGAAATAACAGGTGGTGATGGCTTGAGAAGAGAGAACGATGAAAAGTCGCAGTTGCATTAATTTGAAAATATTTGACTTTTAGTTGTTTTCAAGAATACGCACAATCTTTGCACATATGTGCAGAAATCCATGTATCTCTTTTGTTGCATTTTTGTTTACCGAACGAGATTTTTGGGTGACATATGCGACCAAAAATCACTGTGCTTTTTTGGTGGTGCACAGTCGGTCGCATAGGTCACACACCGGTTGCCGAAGTGGGTGTACAATATGACTGATGGACCATGCTTTCCCATTGGACAAGGCTCAAGAAGGGCTTTGAGTCTAAATTTATATACAGTCCCTGTGGTCATGTGGATATTTTCATCTGTGGGTATAGAGCAGAATGGTATGTCTAGGCAGAGAGGACACTATCTCTATGGGTATAGAAAAGTACTTCACCCATAGTTTTCTATGCCCGCACTACTTTTCTATACCCCTGGGTAAAGATGTCATTTGGTGTAGTGAGTCTTTGACAAGACATTGGATTTATCTCAAGTAAGAAAGTCCAAAATCACACTATACCTTTCTCAGTATGGTCGGATGTAAAAAGGAAGTGTGATTTTCTAGTGCGGCAATGGTGCAATCAAATGGGTGTAGAATTCAATTTGAGCTGGCTCATCTGGGATTTCACACACATGTTTTTTACACTCATTACCTGGTGGAAAGAATCTGGGTTGAAGATTAGATATCACTGGGCTCAGTATAAAATTCTTCACCCTATTTTGTTCACCTTGTGGTTTCCACCTGAGAGAAAAAATGGAAAAAAGTTGGGAAATTATATATGAACCCCCCAGCTTATGAAATTTTTCACCCATGGGGTTTTTACAACACAAAACAGGTAGAAAGATATAGGTCCCATGTTATAAGAGAAGACTGATCAATTCAAGATCTTAATGACCCAAGACTGGGCCTACTTTGGATGCTACTGAGCTCAAAGGCTCTAGACATGTTTAAATATCAAGTTGTATTGTAACCAATCCATGCACCACACTTGAACAAATGGTTGATTTTCTATGTGTATCTTGAAACATTCTGCTATGTACTAGTGAAATATTGTGCATGATAGGTTTCCTTTTCCTTTTTGGAAGGATTCTGCCAGAATGATTCATCCATATCTCAAAGGGATATTGGAATTCAAAAAATAAGATTAGAAGGTATACAAGATAAAAGACAATGGTAGGGTATAGATCACTCAAGATTGTTTTTTTGTTGTTGAATTTTCTTCAAGGCAAGCAATGAAAGTAAGGGCAGTGATCAAAATCTTGGGAATGATCATCATCTTGATGATCTTGATCAACTCAATACCTTCCATTTTCCCCTTTCAGGTCTCTTCCTCAAAACCACACCCATCTAAACCAATTCAACTTGATTTCAAAATTCTAAAAATTTCTATGCCTAAGTTAGGGCCCATTCACTTAACCAATTTCCGGTGAGAAATCACATTCTACAAAATTTAAAGTGTCTATTTGGTGGTACATGTTTCATTTATGCATTAAAAAATTTACAGAATGTGATTTCTGGTCAAAAATTCCTCAAGTGAACTAATCTTTGATTTATTTTGATGTTTACAATTCCAATTCCAATTCCAAAAATCATATATGTATCAAATCCATCAAATCCAAAACTTTTTTCTTCTTGATCAATTCTTAATCACATCTTACAAAACCCCAAAACCAATAAAAATACATATCAAATTCCAAAATTCCAAGATCTAATCAAATCCAATTCATCAATGTTTGATAATCTTATTTCTAAGGTAATTTAAAATACCAATCCCAACGATAAACCAATCCCGATCTTCTCCAAGCCTCCAAAACTCTAAACTTAACCATCGGAAACCTAACCCCCCACAAAAAAAACAAATCTCATCAATTTCTCCTCAAAAAAAGAACCTTCACAACTTTAAAATTTAGAAATCATTTATAAGACATTCTTACCATTCAATTGATTTAAGCCAATGTAAAGCTACTGTATCTGAATCGATTTCAAGTTGATTCCAATCTCCCATTCTCCAACCCAAATCGATTCTCATCAACCGATCCACTCGATCATCTAGATCACTTAACCAAGCTCCTACTCTTGCATCTTCAATTCCAACTTGAGATTCATATGACATATTAGATGTACCAATCCATTCCACCTTAAACCCCCCCCAAAGAACATCCATCATCCATCAGTTTTTCAGGGTTGGGTTGTGGTGAGATAAAATGAAACTTACTAGTGGCCAACTTAGGGCATAAGCTAAACCTCTAAAGTATGCTGGAAATAATGGATTCGATCCTTGACTAGTACCCCAATATATATTCGAACCACAATCCAAGTTTTGAAACTCTTTAATCAAATTAGGAATGACTAAAAAAGTCTAACCGCTCAAAAAAAAGAAGAAAAAAACACGAATAAGTTGAGAAATGAAAAGGTTTAGTAAATAGGCATGAATTTTGTGAGAGTGAGAAAGAAACCTTACATCATCATCCGATTTCATCACGAACTGAGGTCTACCAATCTCTTTAATCCTAGGATCTCGATTCTCTAGTCCGATCTCACGATCCAATACTCTATCCATTTTCCAACGACCATTAGCACCCATTGAAACCCAACGAAAAAACTCATACGTCTTTCCCAAATCGATATTATCCTTTTCAAGATTCTCAAGAACGATCACATCATTTCCATACCGTTTGTTTTCTTCTTCAATTAAATAATTCCAATACTCATTCTTAGGTTTACCTGAAATGAAAACTAAATCGATGATCGGTGCTTGATGATTGGAAGAAGAAGAAGAAGAAGGTGGTAAGTCAGCTTTGAGTAATGTTCTGATTAGGTTTCGTTTGGAGTATCGATCTGGTGTTGTAAAGATTCCAATAAACAATAAACTACAATCTTTTTGTAACTTCGCATCACATTTAAACCTAGAAACCGGTCTGTTCGATCTCAATCCTTGATCTCCTTTATACCACAGATACTCCGATAGATTTGATGGATGGTTTTTCGTCAATGAAGGATCAAGTTGATCTGCATGAGTTTCTTCTAATGGATCATAATGAATAGGTATACTCTTATTCTTTAATTCTTTAGATGCTTTGGTGATATTTCGATGAATAGCATGTAAGATTCTTAAATTATAATTTGATAATCTTTCTTGGTTTTGTAATTCGATCGAAACACTTGATTTAGTCTTGGTTTGAATGTTTTTGGTTTTTTGATATGGATCACCGATTGGTTTGATTTGAAATGTGATAGGATCTATGATTGGATCTAATTGTAAATGATTAGGTTGATCTAATGTCCAACTGATCAAATTATAGATAATCAAAATACTACTGATGATGATGATAATGAGTTTTGATAATCTTTGGTTATTGGATGGTTTGAATCTAGTTGGATGGTTTGGATCTGGTAATAAAGGTTGATGGTTTGATTTGAATTGGTTTTTGATTTGATTAGGTATCAGTTTACTTAGTTTCTTCTTTAATGGTTCTTGTTCTTGTTCTTGTTGTAATAATCTTCTTTGATCTTGATTGTGATTGGTATGATTCATGTGAACTTTAGCTTCTTGTTCTCTTTGATTGACTCAATGGTTTTCTCTTGAGGTTCTCTCGTTGAATTGTGTTTGGGTGAATGTTTTGCTGAGCTGAAGTTGGTTAGAATTCAATTCCCGTTCCT